TAAGCAAGAAATTTGAAATCTTGAATATTTTTCATTAAAATTTGAGCTGAACCTCTCGTATCTACATTTTCTGATGGATCACATAATTTTTCTAAAACCTGTACCAACTTGCTGAAATGATTCATTACAGGTTTCACCGCATGATATTGCTCACTCCACCTGGTTCCTGCTAGCCTTTTTGCAGTGATCCCGATTATTTCTGACAATATATCCCATCTATGAGTTGATGAAGAAAATAAGTTGTAAATGCTTTCAATTGTTCCAAAAAACGTTACACAAGTTGGATTGCTTCCAAATGCGTGAACCCCGCTCAAGTTAAGTAAATGATTAGAACAAGGTACAAATAAAATTTTCTGATTTATTTGATAGATCCTGGCTTGTACCCCAGAATGAACACCTGACATTACCGAAGCATTGTCATAACCTTGGCTTCGACATAGGTTTATGTCCAAACCCTCTTCATCAATAATATTTACAATTCTTTGTGTGATATCAATAGCCTTCTTTCTGGCAAGAGGAAAAAATCCTAAAAATGATTCTCTTACCTCTACATTTTTGTTTCTTATATGAACATATCTAATAATCTCACTTAATTGGTCTTGGTGAGATATATCAGGTGTTGAATCAAACATTATCCCGTAATACTTTGCTTGCTTTACATCATCAATAATTTTCTGTTTCACAGTATCTCTCAATATAGAAATAAATTCATTCTGAATTTTAGGGGAAAAATATGAAATCGTGTTTCCTGTCTTGCTGTGTTGGACCCTCACTAAATGTTCTTTTAAAACAGGGTCGTAGTGTGAAATTAATTCAACTAACTCTAAGAAATTGCCTTTGTTGTTAGAAAAGTCATCTTCTCTGTGGCCTCGTAAAGGTAAATTTTGTTTTGCTAGAAACATGGTGACATCCAATAAGCGGTGTAAAATGTCATTCCATTTTTTAGTTTCCAGTTCTCGATTTTCTTGATGAACGGCATCAATGGTTTTATTAAGATTCAAACTTAGTTCTAATGTTTTCCATTTTTCATGATTGTTTAAGTGAATTTCAGAATTTTCGTGATGTGAAATCTTAGGGTTTAGTTTCCACCAATTATTAAACCCTGTAACAAATTTTGAAAAATTATTACTTTCTTTATCACAAGCAGCAAAAAGTCGACAACAAAAGCAAAATAAACATTTTTTGGAAGGAGAATAAACCATCCACTTTCTGAGAACTTTTTCACCATTTGGAAGATGCTTGTAGAACCAATGCTTTGTCAACTGTCGAGTTTGACCCTTTGTTTGCTTTCCTACTCTTTGAACCACTCTAAATGGACCATTTTTGTTCTGGAAATATTCACTCTTTAGTTTTACTATACTGATTCTGATGTTATCTGATAACGGAATTGTCCAATTTCCCACATCACAATTTAAAAAAATATCATTTTCACTAGAAAAATTTATTTCATCCTCGCATTGTTGATTTGACGTTTCAGTTTCGGTGGTTGTTTTTCCTTGGTCAGAGTCTACGGTTGTATCTAAATCAGTCTGCTGACTTGATGAACTAGCAATAAATTTAAGCATTGATCCGGACATTATTCCCTTCTACTTTTCAAAATTTTTCGTTTTTGTGCTCCACTTGGATGATGTCTCTTCATGATCACGTATCTATCTACAAGTTGATATTGTTTTAATTCTAATAATTTATTTTAACTTCAGGGCTTAAAATATAATTTAAAAAATTGAAAGTGAAAAAAATGGTGTAACATCAGTCACATAAACCGAGGAGAACAGATATCCGTCTTTACCTATCAACACTTTTTGTACCTTAGATTTAAACTAGTGAGTCAGTACCGGTGGGTGAAAGTATATTTTCTGTTTTTTTTACCTGAAAGATGGTAGTTATATTTAAACTTATTAAAGAAGAGATTGATAAATATATAAATAAAATTTAAAACTCACTCTAATAAACCAAACGGAACAGACAACAAAAAAAGTTTGAAAAAGCCGACTCGTCCAAAAACTATATCAACCAATCACATTCAAGTATAATGATGTCAATGTCCGACTAAAAATAGACGTGGATTACCAATTCGGTCAGGATTTAAAAAAATTTATTCTAACTAAGTATATGCATTACTACAGATTATTTATAAATAAATATATTCAAAAATCAAAACACAAAATCACGTCTATACACTTACTAAATAAATAAATTATTTAAAAATTTTCGTAATTGGCTTTTTGGAGGCCCCCTCCAAATCGGAGGCCCGGGGCGATCCACCACCCTCGCCCCCACCTCGGTTCGCCAGTGCACTCGATACTTTTTAGTATTCTTTGAATCGACCGACCAGTTATCAGTATGTACTATTACTGAACACGCACTATAGTTCAATTTTTTGGAATGGGGGGCTTACATAACTTAGTGAATTAAGCTGGTAGTGTTTTGCTAGTTCTATGCAGTTGAAAATCTAAGGGAACAGGACTTTATGAGCATTATTTTTATTAAAAGTAAATGAAACTCAGTTTTTAGACAATTTTAGCAATTTTAATAAAAACTAAATAAAATCACCCCTCAACCGTTTTAACTTTTATTGAAAATAATTTCCCGGGACAAAATGAACAAACGAATAATTCAATGGTGACGTCATTCCGTTAAATCATCATTCAATCATCTGCAGAATTCCCTTGCATTCGATCCAGGTCACAGCGACGCATGAAGGACCCGACATCCTTAATTACTTAATTGCATCTCAACTTAGAGCCACCAGAATCCAAGGAAGACTCAATTAAATCATCAGAGTAAAAATAACATCTAATTAATTTTTTAACATTATAATATAACCAAAGTAGAACCCCGTTATTACAAGCAACATTTAAAAATAGAACATATAAAGCCAATTAGTATTTAATGCATAACAACGTTAACAAATTTGTATAACAATTAAAATAAGTATTTAGAAACATTATAATGTTGTAAAACTAGTGAAAGCTGGTTTATTTATAACAATTCTCTCTTCGATATTTTTCGCATGCCTCGACAACAAACACGCACTGCATGCAAACACACGTGAAACGAGGCATCAAACACATTGCATGTGATAAGCGGAGAACACTCTGCAATCGAATCCAGTCACTGCAGAGGCAGTGTCAGGCACTTTACCGCTACACTATCGCTCCGCCAGAATGGTCACAAAAAGGATAGAATAAAAATAAAAATCTGTTAGGGAATAAATCCTCATCTTAAAACGATAGTAACACCATCTTCATGCTCAATCTTACGTACCATCATATATTGTTATTCATTAGTGAGATTAGCTCGTACAAAAATAAAAAACTAGTTTTGCTCAATAAAAGGTGAATTAGTTTATTCTTAAACAGTGCTACGATTAAAAATTGAAGTTAAAAGTTGTTGCTTGTAGCTAACATGCAACTTCGATTTTAATGAAATCAAAGGTAGTATTCGTCTGATTGTTGGAAGGGTTGAATGCAAATGCGATCGAATTAAACGTGTAGTTTCCGCCACTGATAGCATCTTCCGGTATGCTCTGTTCGATTGAAAATTATCACATTTTTAATTATTCACTATTGCTACGACATGATCAACATTCAAAATTAATTTTTCATAATAAAATATAACAAAACAGAGATTAATTTAAATAGCTCGTCAAATTTTGTCCAACCTGGTTGTTATAGAGAGGAACAGCCGGATCTTTAGAGTAAGTTAAACCGTTAGTAGTAGAAGATGCAAAGGAACAATAGTCAGCCACATTTTCCATACTCAGGCTAAATCTGATCAACTGTTGCGATTGTGCTGATTTAAACATGAAAAACGTAGTGTAATCATTAGTAACACATTTCGCCGATGCTGGTACAAAAGATGTCCACAGGAAAATGAGGCGTCCATTTATTTCAATTCTTGTAGGATCAGAATATATTTTTTCATATTCCGAAGTAGCATCACGTCGTTCACAAGCTGTGAAGTCTTTTTGAGTTATGTTGAACAATAAACATAAATATGCATGAGACTAATTGATATGTATTGAAAACACACACACGCACACACACGCAAACACACACACGCACACACACACAGGTTTTTTCTCAACGATGTTAAAAATAGCCTATCAAGTTACATTCAACCATGTTGGTTGCTGCAATGCAACAACCAACCAACCAACAAAATCAACCAAGCAAAAAATCAAACAGACAAACGAGCGGATAAACGAACGAACGAACGAATGAACAAACAAACATAGCTTTATTTAAATAACGATATTAATAAAAGTTTTCGGAACCGTTCAAAAGTTTATAACGTTTTTCAGTTAACTTTTGCCCATCGCCAATCACGACATGATAAAATTAAAAACTTATGTATATATAAGAGCGGGAACATAAAACTGCTATGCTTGCCAAAAAACAAAATCTTTTTAAGGTTTATTACAAATTTTACCAATTTTTTCGATAAAATATTTTATTTAATTTATCTACAAAACCATGTTTAGAATTTGAAAAACATTGTAAATGAGCATACCTGTTGTTGCTAGGTTTATGGTTGTGACCGTACTTAAAGCCATAGTAGTGGTTGGAGCCGTTGTAGTAGTGATTGAAGATGTTGTATTAGCTGTTGTAGTAGCTGTTGAGGCTATGAAAATTGAATAAATCATAAAAAATTAAATATTCAGAAAAAACTTGTTGATGTCAAAGTAATTGTTGTTGTTTCCTTATTATAATTATGATGAAGAACCTGCTGCAGCCAAGACGGAAGCCACCAGAGTGGTGCAGACGACCGCTCCAATCATTCCACTGCCCGCCATCACCAGGAACAAAATCTTCCTGCCTCTTCTGCCATTGCCACCATTAAGTCTATCTTCTCCATCGGCTCCATCGACTCTTCTCGAAGTTGTTTCATCTTCCATGACTTGCGCTATTGCAAATTATTCAGTCCTATTATGTTTTAGCTTATCTTCCACTTCAATTTATTGATAATACATACAACATAGGGTAATAAAACATACAACGCATGTTTGAAGTTCTACATGTATATATATATATATATATATATATATATATATACATGTAAAATATATATTGATATTGAACTTAAAAATAAAATAGACAATAGTTTAAATAATATTATCGATCAACATTTTAATACATCAACAAATAAAATAATTGATAAACTATCTCGTTTATATGGTGGTAACTTCAAATTTCCTCGTCCTCAACAAGGTTTTGTCAATTTGTCAGATATAAAATTGACTTATCATCAAGAACGTTTGTTAAACTTAGGACTAAACTGTCATATTTTAAAGAAACCACATAACTTACAAAAACGAGTTGAAATTGAAGTGCTCATTGATCAAATTTTAAAATTGAATAATGATAAGAAAGACATCATAAATCAATCGCTCATCCCTGACCTTATTTCAGAATCCCATAAAAATAGAGGTAACTATAATAGTAAAATACTCGACAAAGAACTTATAAATGATGCCAAGCAACTTAAATCAAACAACAATATAACCATTCGAAAAGCCGACAAGTCAGCGTCATATGTTTTGATGAACACACCCGAATATCTCCAAAAATTAAACCAACTTCTTTCCGATTCCACAAAATTTAAAAAGATCTCAAAAAACCCCGTCGATGATATCAAAAAACAGCTCAACACCATAATTAACCGCATCAATAATAATAGTTCAATAAAATTCAATAAACTCATTGGTGATTTCTCTCCCGGTTACATCTATGGTAACGTAAAGACACATAAACCCGACAATCCCTTACTCCCTATAATTAGTCAATGCCCAACTCCCACTTATCACATCGCAAAACAGCTCAACACCATTCTCACACCATATGTACCTGACAATTATTGTGTCAAAAGATCAACTGATGTCATCAAATTGTTGAAAGCAAATCGAGATTTGGGAACGATGGCTTCATATGACGTCGAATCTCTTTTCACAAACGTGCCGGTTGATACTACAATACAATACATACTTGATCGAGTATATCACGATGATACAACTCCATGTTTGGATATTAGAGAAGAGGATCTAAAACGTTTGTTAGAAATATGCACGAAGCAGTCACCGTTTGTATGCCCCGCTGGACACATGTACGTGCAAACCGATGGCGTAGCTATGGGATCTCCACTGGGAGTCTTGTTCGCAAATTTTTATATGGGAACAATTGAATACAAAATCTTCAAGCGTTATCGTAAAACTCTCGTATATTGTAGATATATCGATGATATATTTGTCATAACCAAATTTGAGAGAGATATAACACAGCTGAATAAAATGTTTCACCTTAACTCATGTTTAAAATTTACTGTGGAAAAAAGTAATGACAATAAATTGACCTATCTTGATATTTTAATTGATCAGTTAACACTCAACACATTTCGCACATCTGTTTACGTCAAACCAACCAACAACGGGATATGCATGAAAGGAAATAGCGAGTGTCCAGATCGGTATAAAAAAAGTGTGATAATATCGTATGTCAGACGGGCATATTCACACAGCTCTGAACCACTTGAATTTAGTAAAGAACTCGATAAAATAAAACAATTCCTTGTCAACAATAATTTTAACAATTCAACAATAGATAAAATAATGACCAATGAAATTAGAAAGATTCAAAATAATAATATTAAGATAAATGATAACAATGAAAACGTTAAAAACAACTCAAGTTATAATCACAATATAACCGACAATGATAACCACGTTTCTATCGATCATAACAGCCATAACAACACAAGCAACACTGACAACAACACAAGAAACAACACAAACAACAATGACGACAATATAAGTGATAATAACACGAACAATAATGATAGACGTATTATCAATGATCATGATAATGATAACATAAATAACAACGAAAACAATGGTAACCATGTTACTATTACACAAGTCATTGTCGATAACCTAATCAACAACGACAACCATGTTATTTCCAATAATCTTGTCAGTAATGTAAACAACTCAAACAACGACGTTGTTGCTGATCATATCGGTGACAATGATGCAAACTCTATCACCAACTCCAACAACAATAACAGCGACAATAACGATGACCATGTGCATCATGACAATGATAACAACACAACCAATGACAACCTCGTTATCGCAAACTCCATTCATAACAATAACAACAACTCAAACAACAATACCGACAGTACAAAATTAACTTTATTTTATCGTAACTTAATGAGCTCTTCGTATAAAGAAGACGAATATATAATTAGAAAAATCATTAAAAAAGGAGTCCATCCAGTTGATTCTAATGAAAAAATAAACCTTCTTATTTATTATAAAAATTTTAAGTCGCAACAACTACTAATAAAAAATAGTCCAAACATTAAACTAGCAACAACACAGCACTCCCACGTCATCTAGCAATTTCTATGTCCTCACGAAGACTGTAGGCTTCGTCCATCTTCTTATATTGGAATGACTACCACAAAACTGACACGCCGTTTAACCTGCCATTTAAACATCGGAGCTCCAAATCAACACTACCATGACTGCCACAACCAGCAATTATCCCGCAAAATATTAGAAGATAATACTTAAATATTAATGAAAGACACTAATTTTAACAGACTACAAATTTTAGAATCCCTATTTATTAATATTTATAAACCTAATTTGAACAAACAAATTTATTCCAATTTTATTTTACCTTCATCAGGAAATGTTTAATTTATTATTATTATTATTAACATAATATTGCACATATAATATATTTTATTATGTTATATTACAAAATAATTGTTTATTATACTTAATTTAACTACTTGCGTTATTTAACTTTAATCGTTACGTTACTTTCGCGCTCAACTCTTATTACGTCATCTGACAGTTTATTGTTATGTTTTATTTGAATTAATATTAAATTGCCTGAAGATGAATTATAAAATTCGAAACGTCACTTAATAAATAATTATATAATGAATATTGGTGTTCTAATTTTAAATTTAAATTATAATTATAAAAAACTAATAAGAAAAATAGAAAATCTTTATAAAAAATTATATATCAATAATATAAGCATCGCGTTTAATGAAATATATATATATATATATATATATATATATATATATATATATATATATATATATATATATATACGTTCGTTTGTTCGTTCGCTTATTCATATTCATTATCCTTGTTTTTTCATTCATTAGAATTTTTAAACTATAATTTTTATTCATAAACTCTCATACACAGACACACACACAGACACACACACACACACACATACATGCAATTGTTATTGTCGGTATAGCGTTGTAGCTAGAAAGACTTATGGTAGTTTTGTATGTACGCAGTATGTATTTATATTTTTATCATAATTTTTAATATTGTGATAAATATTATTATTATTATTATAATGAATTATTTATTAAATATTTTAATTATTGTTATTGAATACAGTGCATGTCCTATACGTTTAAAATGTAAATAGCACCATGCAAGTCTGGAGTTTTAAGTTCAATACTACAGACCGATCTGCGAATGTTGTTATGAACATAACACTGGATATTAGGATTGGTTAACTCTCATTGCCTTAATGAGAGGAAGTGTTTTTTTTTATTTTGTTCCTTAATACTAACATGGATTTGCAGAAGAGCATTATTTATAAAGATTTAAATCGTAGTTAATTTATATGTTAGTGTTGTCAAAATTTATAACATTGTATGTGAGTGCGTGTGTGTGGTGTGTGTACGTGCATATTTGTGTGTGCGTGTGTGCGTGTGTGCGTGTATTACATATTTCCTCCGTGCGTGTCGAACTGGAATGAAATTATGATCCTCACTGTTAAATCATAATTGCATTCACTTAGAAGGCAATTACCATAAGCTCGTGCAATGCGATTCGAGCAAGTTAGAGATCGCGCTGTGTGTGTGCAATTGCATGTTTTCGAAACAAAGACATCAGCGCTTGTTCATGTAGCGACGTATTGAGTGTATTTGTATGAGGATAGCTTACAATCAGCAAGGTTGTCGCATTCATTTCAATTCGACTGCTGTTCACAGCTGTTTGAAAGCACTCGCACGATTTTACCTTACTATACAGTACTGATTATTGTTTCGTTTTTTTTACGGCTGTTATTGTTGTTGTTGCTGTTGTTGATTTTGGGAAATGTTTTTCAATATTCAAACATTGAAATAATCATAATAACAAAATTCTATGATTTTCTTGTTATTTTTACTTTGTTGTTATAGCTGTTACATGTCTGTTTAGCTTGCGACAGCCAAATTCTTTCGTGTTAACATAATTTATCCACAAAATTTGAGTTTGTTACTTAATGTTAGCAACTCAATAACAAACAGCTATTTAGTAGTCATAAAGTTTGTGTACATGAAATAAAAATGTCATCAACTGTACCTCAAACTTGGCTTGAATAATTACTGAGAGTTTTGAATAATAAAATTCATTTAGTCATTTAGTCTGAGAGATTTTAACAATATGAAAAATAAAATTCATTTAGTCAAAATTTTATAAAATATTGCACACACATATGACCAGTAATAATTTAAACGTAATAAGAGTACTATTTAATTATTATAAAATAAAAAGTATGAGATGAATATGTAGAATTCAATGCTGAATATTGATAAGTTAGGATGGTTCGAATTTTGAAACGATGAATTCTGTTGAGAAGATTGTGCAAAAACAATCTCATGCTTTATGTTTATTGCTGGCAGATAAATTTCTACATGAAACAAATTTATATATAATTATTTATTATATATATATATATATATAAAATAGACAACATCACCAACAAACCAGCAACTACAACAACTTCAACTTCATCATCACATCAACAAACATCATCAACAATGACAGACGACTTTAACAACATCAGCATCAACAACAGCATCAACAACGACAACAAACAACCTTAACAACAAAACTAAAACGCAATTTTTTGTGAGATCAAAGACGGCGTCCCAACGATCATATTAATATAATAATAATAATATTAATTACAACAACAACAATAATAATAATGGTAACAGATCTTTTATTTTTCATCAAATGCGTAAAGTCAATAATTAGTTAATTAATAGAGAAATAGTCATGATTTAAATAAAATTAAATTAAAAAAAAATTTAAATAAAATCATAATCATCATAGTTAGTCATCATTGCTCTTTATTTAAAATAAAATAAGTACAGCGATGATAAGATAGTTATGAAAATTGATTCACGCATTGTTCTGATCACAATATATGGCATATGATGATGATATCACACTGCTAATTAAACTTTGGCGAAAATATTCGGTCCAATCAATTTTAATAATAATAATAATAATAATGGGAACATCTTTTATTTTCACCATAAAAAACATACAATGATAAAAGTATATATATATATATAAAAGTTAATGTTAATTAAAAAACAACGCGTAATGATAACATTTGTAAAAATTGTATAAAATAATATTAAAGGTTAAGACCATTTTGCTCATTGTGAAGTTTAGTGCAGAACGGTAAAATATATTTAATTAGCACATAGTTTGTTCCTGTAACAATAAATGTCATACGATAATCTTATAACAGTGTTTATCAATTCATCATTAAATGATAGCGGCCATGGAACTTTAAACAGTGACAAATTAAAATGATTGTAAAAACCAATAGGCGTTATTTCGAATGAGTTTATAACTATTGAACAATGTTTATAGCTTTATTTAAACAACAGTGCAAATGATTAGAGTATTCTAGGTTGATTCTAGGAGGTTTATAGCTTTATTTAAACAACAGTGCAAATGATTAGAGTATTTATTTCTCTTGTATTGCCTGGAGGATTCTAGGTTGGTTTCATGGCACAAAGTTAATTCTAGAATCTCAATTTTGTTATTTTGAAGTAAATATTTCCCTATATAAACATCAAAAAGCACTGATGAATCGAAATCGAAATATGGCCTTATTTGCAGCATGAATTCGGAAAATAAGTTTATTTTGAATTTTAATAAACTAAACGTTCACCAAAAAACTTTAGTGAGCAAAATTGAAAAAACGAACTACAAACATATTAACGTCAACAACAACACCGATACATTTCACTTCTCCAACAACAACCGAAATTAGCATGTGAGAAGGAATCTATACATTTTCAACAGTATAATAAACTTCTACACACACTTGCTAACGACAACAATATTAATAACTTCGATAACCTGAAGACTGTCATTGAACAAAAATACAATTCCTACTTTTTCTATAAACTACAAACAATGTTAAAAAAGCTCAATAGTTTAAACAATGGAAATACCATACTCCCTGACCAAGAGGTTCAGTCTAACATTAACCTATCTAATTATACATTAACAGACGATGAAGCTTCCTTTCTCAATTTAGGTCTCAATTATTGAAATAATATATATGTATATTATAAATGTTTCAATATATTTATGACTTTCCATAGTTTCAGACAATCTTATTATTATTGCTAACTTGACTAACTTGCACGTGTATGCTTTTCGCTTTATGTGTCGTAAACCAGCTCTGTCAAAAGAGTTGGTCGCTGCAGCTAGGAGTCTCCGAAGTAACGACATCGTTATCCGTAAATCTGACAAGGCCAACATGTACGCTTTGATGAATCGAGTGGATTACCTCAAACTAATCAATAATATTTTGTCCGATAATACCAAATTTCAATGTATTGCTAAAGATCCCACATCACAAATCAAAACGAAGGCTAATAAAATAATTGCACAGGTAAATCTTAATTCAACCTCTGCAAAACTCACCACTATAGTCGGCGAATATAATCCAGGATATATCTAGGGAAATGTGAAAACTCATAAACCAAATAATCCATTAAGACCAATAATCTCACAGTGCCCCACTCCCACTTATCATTTAGCAAAGGCACTCAACAAACTTCTTGAGCCATATGTCCCTCGTACCATCTCTGTCATATCAAGCTTTGAGTTTATCGATATCATCAACGATAACAGAAGATGCGTCGGCCATATGGCTTCGTTGGATGTTGAAAGCTTATTTACTTCGTTCCAATTGAGTATACAATTGATGTCATCTGTAGACGTGTATATAATCATCTTACGCTTCCACAACTAGATATTCCTTTGGACCTGCTCATCGAGCTACTAAAGACCTGCACGGTTGAAAGCCCATTTGTTGCTCCGGATGGATCGCTATACCGTCAAATTGAAGGTATCGCCATTGGCTCCCCATTGGGTTCTTTGTTCGCGGAATTCTATATGTCAGAACTAGAGGCTAAAATATTTGCAGATCCAACAAATAAACCACCAATATATGCTCGCTACGTGGATGACATATTCATCATTTGTCCCTCCGTCACCGACATATATAATCTGCAGAATTCCAAAATAACTCCCATCTGAAATTTACAATAGAATTCAGCACCGATGAGAAACTTTCGTCCCTCGATTGCTTAATTCAACAGAAAGAAGAACAACTAACTACCAAAGTTTACGTGAAACCGTGCAACTCCGGCCAGGTATTTAACTACAAATCAGACTGTCCTGACCGTTATAAAAACAATGTCGTATACAATTTCATCCACCGCGCACATAAAATTTCATCTGACACTACTATATTTTAAGCCGAACTAGTTCGTATCAAACAATTTCTAATCATTAACAATTGTAGATGATACTATTAAAAAATATGTTCTTTCTCTCTCTCTCTCACACTCTCTCTTTGCTGTTTATGCATTTTTATTTATTTATTTAGCACAACTGACCAGAGGGCCCAACGGACCACTTACTCAATCAGGAAGAGAAAAAGAAATGTTATAAAATTAGGCAATTGGCAGACAGATGAAAAAGTCAACACACAAAAAAAAAAGCAAAATAAGAAAATATTAAACATAAATTTGCATAGTTATTCCTAACACCGTCATTAGTGCATTGATCGAAAAATAGGTAATTTTTAAAACGATCGGTTGAAATACATACGAACATCAGATAATGTTTAAAAAAAAACCATTATTAAACAAAATACACAGTATATTCCATAAATAATTGGTTGTTATACGAAAACTAAAATGCTTCAAGTCAACAGAGAGTAGTTTGCGTCTAAAAACATCATAAGTTGGAGAAGAGACAACTTCATCCGGTAGTGCATTCCACACTCGAACCACTCTGTTGAAGAAGATATATTTGGAAGTATTATCCTTGAGTTGCATTCAGGAAGTCTCTTGCCATGACCACGAGTTGACAAATAATGAGATGGAACAAAATTATCTTTCAAATGTTGAACAGTGAGATTGTTAAGTATTTTGTATAACAAACATAAATCAAAAATCAATCGGCGATGTTCCAATGTTTGTATTTTGACAAAGTGTAAACGAGACAGATACGGAAGATGGTGGATTGAAGCAATGGCCTTAGTGAATCTCCTTTGAACTTTTTCGATATTGCTAATTTGATATTTATAGTGAGGACACCAGACAGTTGAGCAATATTCCAGTAGAGGACGGACATAAGTGCAAAAGGCCTTGTTGAGCAAATCTTTATCCTTGGATGTAAAACATTTAATAATAAGACGAGCACGGGTAGAAGATCTATGCGCAATGTTGTTAATATGATGTTTAAAACTTAGTTTATTATCGAATATTACACCTAGATCTTTAAAATATTCGACAGGTGTCAGAATGTG